ACATCAAATGAATCTTCTCGGCTTGTTGGCATCTTCATTGATCTACAAGAATACGATTTGCATCGAGCATTCCAATCTGTTCGTCAATGATGAGATATTTAGCGTGTGTGAGTGTGGATGTGGGTGTGAGTACGATTGAACGGAAGATTCACACTCATGTCCACACCCCACATCCTATCGAAACTGTCTCCGGACAGCACTCTATACTGCAAGATAGCTAAAAGGTGAGGGATTTTTTCTAAATCTCAAGATTTCATGATTTATCTTGAGCTTCGGTGGTACTAAAAGTAATGAAGAAGTAGATGATTGATTTTCTCTCCTTGATATACATATATAAAGATTAGCAATTAAAAAATTTTTTTTCTTCTTCTTTGTGATGATCTTTCGTGAAGAAATTCTAAATTATATCCCTAATTAGAACCATTTTTTCATTTATTTCAGGTTGAATATGCTTATGTTAATATATTTGAATGTATGTTGAAATCAACATTAACATGAACATATAAAGTATATTTCTTTCTCTTATGTCTTAAATATTTTAATGATATTTGTAGGAAAAACTTCAAGTTGAGAAAATGATCACAAATGAAGAAGATGTTGAATCAGTTTAAAATAATGTTGAATAAGTCATAGAAGATAAAGAAATAACTCTAAACTGGTTTAAATAAGCATTATCAATGGTTGTTAGAACAAAAGGTGAATTACAAGAAGCATTTCAATCAGCATTAATATGAAAATATTTTGAAAATATTGGTTCAATAACACGTGATAGTAAACAAATTCAAAGGTTTTTTTTATGATATATCGTATTATTATTCGATAACAATTGATAATAAAAATAGATAAATATTCTCATGATGATTTATCTTTATCAACAATAGTATTTATTTGATCATAAACAGAAAAATTCTTATGCTTTACATCAATCATGCTATTCAAATATGTTTGAAGAGACAATTAATACAAATAATGATGATAAAATTGAAATAATTTATCTATATGAAGCCCTTTTAGTTATTGACACAAGACAAAGTCTGATACATTTAATGATTTTGTCGGGTATTTAATAATATATTATTCGTCTTCTATGTCTAATCATTTCAATTTCTGCTTATCAAAATCAATTTTAAATTATTATTCATTCAATGTAAGGTTCGTTTTTTTTATCAAAAACAAACTCATTTTCATTGGATTTTATATATAGATCTTCTAAAAGATCAAGCTATGATCTATATACTTTTAGAATTAGTATATGATCATTATCTAGATAGTCCATAACTATCAATAATAAAAATAAAATTAATTTTCATAGGGTTTGTTTCAATCCTCTTTTATTTGAACTTTTTATCTCTTGTTAATTTAGTTTTTCTAATAATAATAAAATGTTTTTATTTGAAAAACGTCTGATTGTTTAAATATGTTTAGTCTTATAGAAGAAAATCATTTTAAACCGATATTACTTTCTAATTGTAAACAAGAAGTTTGTTTCATTTCGTATATATTTATTTAGAAGATCATTTTTCTTATTATTTAATAGGCGAAAAGAAATAATCTAACAAATTATCGACTACTGAGAACAATGATTTTCATGGAAAATTCTAATAATGTGTTATTGAACCTCGTAGTGGATTCATTTTGTGATCTTGTTCATGGTCATTTCTCATGTAAGTATTTGTTAATTCGAAACGTTTTTTGAATCACGATTGATGCATGCGAAACGTAAAGAACGAATTTATTTCTAGTGAAACATTTCTAACGTCTAAATTGGATTTATTTTAAAAACGCGTCTAAATGATTTCCTAATTTTGAAAAACGATTTTACTTCAATCTGCATCTCCAGTGAAACATCTTTTCGCGTTTAGTCACGTTTATAAACTAAGCTGTGTCCCAATCTAGTCTGATCTCTCAAGAGAAAACACACGCACATATATACATATATATGTGTGTGTGATAGAGCGAGAGAGAGAGAGAGAAATAGATCGAGATTATAAACAAAGAAAATAATCAGTGGATATCAGTATGACATCGAAGGAAAAATAAAGAAAAGAAAGAGCATAATATATATGAAAATATCGAGGTAGTGATGATAACAACTGTTTATTTCAAATGAAATGTATTTAATAATTTAACATAAGATGGAAAACACTTAAATGATTAACGTAAATGTTTGACAAGAATATTTGTTGAAAGTTTTTTATTTTTGCCTGTTGTTAATCTACTCAAGTTTTAAAAAATCTTTTGCGTACCTATGAAATAGATCTTGGTGATTTTATGTTTTAGAATGTATAACCATCCGCAGTTCAAGAATATACTTACGAATTTTGCGAACTTTTTCAAAGAACTATGGCAACGATACCTAGTGGTATTTCATTATCTGATGATAAACAAACAATATCAGATAGTCGTAACCAACATAGTAACCACAAATCACTGAAGGCCTAGTTCATGAGATTTTTACTACGAAGATACATGAGTCTTTGAAATTAATCGAAACATATTCTATCTTGTAGAGCTCGATGAATTGTATTTACAGTAAAAATTTCAGCTTACACGAACGCTTCTCTAGGAAGATATAGGGCACACAAGTTTAGCTGGAAAATGACGTAATTAAGAAAAAAGAAACCAAAAAATTTGAAATTCTACTAAATTTTGTGGTCTTCATTTTTTAACTATAGTGTGATCGAAAATTAATTCCAATTATATCTTTTTGCTCCCCATGATCTGGCGCTTCCATTCATATGTCGCTTTTTAATTTTCATCGATCTAATAAACATTCTTCCTGAACCATACCGGCGGTTCTGATAATAGTCCCCGGCTCTTTATTCTTGGTTTCTGGCTAATTGGTAAAAAAAAATCAATGCCTACATCTCGGTCATTTCAAATTGGGCTAAAATTTCAAATATAGGGTTTGATAGAGCAAAGTCTGCTCTACAAAACTCACTAATTTACTAACTCCTGAAAACCATCTTAAGAGACTTCCTAGGGACCGAGTTTGAGGTACTACTGTTTGCCATAGACCGTCAGTATGGTCCAGAAAGGATTTTTATTAGATCGATAAAAATTAAAAAGCGATATATGAATGGATGCGCCAGGTTAGGGGGAACAAAAAGCTATAATTGAAATTGATTTTCGATCACAGTATAGTAAAGAAGTGAGGACCACAAAATTTAGTAGAATTTCAAATTTTTTGATTTCTTTTTTCTCAATTACGTCATTTTCCAGCTAAACTTGTGTGCCCTATATCCTGCTAGAGGAGCGTTCATCTAAGCTGAAATTTGTACAGTAGATACAACTCATCGAGCTCTATAAGATAGAATATGTTTCGATTAATTTCAAGGGCTCATGTGTCTTCATGGTAAAAACCTCATAAACTAGGCATGAACTGTAACTGTTAGATTACTTTTAGCTATCGAATCAATTGATTTTTGAAGATAACGACAATGAACAACTCGTGATTCATTATTAATTCGGTAATTTTCAATGGAAATGTTTATTTTATACCTTATCTAATCAACATTTTTACGTGATGATGAATGTAAGAGTATCTATTAGACTATTCAACGAAGTATTACTTCTATATATTTTAGTGCAATAATATTAATGAAACCATTCATATTTGTCCAAATAACTATATGAATGTAAGAGAAAAGTAAGTTTTATCTAGATCTTTCTTTGTTTAAATCTTTTTGCGTTTTTCTAGAAAGTTCATTCGATTAGAGATGCTTATCCAAGATCTTAATCAAAGTATTCAACAAATCATCGAAGAAATTCCCACTTCTACTAACGCACTAGAAATTGCTGCTCAAGTACCTGACAACGAACAATTACGTATTGATCTAAGAGCTGCTCATCAACAAGAATGTGGGAGGTGGGTGTGGATGTAGATAAAACGAAGGACAACACCCACACTCACATCCACACCGCATTATGACTCACACTGTATAATATTGAAAAACATGTTTTAAAATATTATTATTTAATTTCCGTAAAATGTTTCTTGTTATTGTCGACTATAGCTTATTCTTTCCAGATTCTCTTTTTTTCTTGACCGTTAATAGATGTTTTCTCTATATATACTTTAGTATAAAAATTCTTGTTTGAAAAAATAGGTCTTGACTTTCTGAGCAGACTAGTGCAGACTAAATCTTGGCTGATGAAGAAGGATTCTACGAGACATTAAATTTATCTCATTTCTGCTTTTATGCTCAGCAGAAGTCAGAAAACGAATCTGGACAAGAAAAGGTCGAATACGGTGCTAACTTTACTTACGTGTAATCATATGATGTTAACAAGTATGTCATTGTTTCAAAGTATCAATACAATATACCGTAAATTCAAACAATTCTTTTTTTCGATTTAAAATTCAATATGATTTTCCTTTGATTTCGAAGTCAACTTTCATTTTCTTTCTTTTTGAGATTCATTCGCATTTTTGTTTTTGTTTTTCAATTAATTTGTTAAAGGAAGAAGTTCCTTTTAGTTTATTTTGAATGTGCTTAAAGAATGTAATGCAGAACCTCGATGAGTGTTGATATTTTAATAAATAACATGAAATACAGAAGCGACTTAAACTCTTCATTTGCCTTTCAGTGCCTTTTTCCATTGTGAAAGAACTCTAGAAAAGGCATCCGATGTCCATAGAAATGTATCCAACGATTGTTGGTCTTTACTCCTTCTTCCCGTCTTCATTGCTGGGAAAACATACCCAACCACCGTTGATTGCCCGGTCCTATATTTTCCCTTAAGGTCTTTTCTTTTCTAATCCTATGCTCTGATTACATCGTATACAAATTTCACTAAATTAATCTCCATAATTCATTGATGAAAAAAAAATGAATAAAATATAAATTGCTTATTGGTACATTTGTCTTTCTTTGAACGAAAGCACAATTAGAGATAATAAAGTACAGACAGACAGAAATGAGCACACACACACACACACACACACGAAAAATAACAACAACAGACAACATTGACTAAAAATACTTTAGATAATTTGGTTAGAAAGCAGCAGCTCCATTCCATCCATTGAGAAAATACTGTTGACTGTCGACAATCACCGACGTATGATGATAAGGATGTTCTGTTGGATAATTTGTTGATACATAACAATTATTCGTTGATGGATATAAATCAATTTTATCAGACGTTAGATTTGTTTCATAATCAGTGTGAGATAAATGATGATGAGATTCATTATCAAGACGAATTCGTTTATTATTTACATCACATAATGTTAATGTTTCACATGAAGGACCACGTTTAATATTCGGTTGCTGTTGTTGTTGTTGTTGTTGTTGTTGTTGTGATGATGGTGGTATAGGTAAAAATTGTTTCTTTTTATTTAACATCATTTGGTGTTGCTGTTGTTGTGGTGGTTGTTTTGAAAGAATCATTTTAGATGATAATAAATTATAATCATTTGATTGTTGTTGATCATAATACATTGAATTATATATTGGTAATGAAGGATAAGATGATGAAGATTTATTATGATCATCATCTAGATTTGAATATGTCGAAAAACATGGTGGATTTGAATAATTAGTTGAAGATGTATAAAGTGAAAAATTTGGATAATTTGTTTGAGAATGATGATGATGATTATGAGAATTATAATAGATATCATCATGAGTATAACATATACCTGTTGTTGTTGTTGATGATGATGGATAATCATCAATAATTGTTGGTGATGATATTATGTCATTTTTTGTTATTAGTTTTGGTGATTTACGTTGTTTTATAGAACGAGTTGTTTTAAGAGTTTTATTTAAAGAATTTCTATTTGATGTTGATGATGAGGATGATGTATTTAAACTTGTATTTGTTGATGAACATTTATCATTTTCACCTGAATTAGCTGCTAATGTTACTAATGCTTGTGCTGAACGTATATAATCTGATGGAGTTTTTTCAACTTGATCAATAGATAATTGTAAATGTTTAGCTTCAAAATCACTTGAAATTAAAATAAAAAACAATTTATTAAATTAATAATATAACAAAAAAAAAGAATTAATTTACCTTAATGCATGATTGACACTAACAATAACTTCTGGCCGTGATGATCGACTATTATGAACAAGTGTTGCATAACTTTGTACTAAAAAAAGAAAAAGAAAATATTGATATCTAAATTTAAAATAACAATAATACTTACTCCATATCCAACCACCATTTCTTGCTAAGAAACGATAATATCGAGTTGTCACTTGTCCTTTAGTAAGTACTAAAAAATAAATAAGTTCCATTATTCGTTAGTAATGTGACTTCATAAAATTAAAATATCTATATGTCAAGATAATAAAATTTCCTACAGCTAATTTTGATATGTTACATGTATATTGAATTATTCTAGATACTCTGAAAAAAATCACCACTAGAGATCTTTATGATATGATGTAAGGAAACGATTGATTTTAAAATTTTTATAAGTTATTAAATGAATTCGAAAATTAATAACTTTAAAAAAAAAGCATAAGATGTACTACTCCATCGAGTAAAAACAATGAACACTCATTAAAGATATTTTTATCTGATGTTTAATTTGTTTTATCGAAGTAAATTATAGTGACATAATGAAGGGTGAGCGAGGTCAAGCGCTTTTCTACCATCAGGAGAAAGAAAAAACTAATAATTATCATCATTGATACGATATTTTATGGATTTTCTCCGAAATCAGAAGGTATTGTTCTACTATTCACAATCTTCTGGTTACGCCACTAGTGAATTACATGCAATTTTTCATTCAGCATGTTTAATATATGTTTAATAATTCAATTTTTTTTTTGTTAGAAATCTTTTGCTATTGTATTAGATCGAAGAGATAAAAGTGAATGATCATTTATAAGAATGCTTTTTTGTGAAGAGTAGATACTTTCAATAGAACAATCGTTTTGTCACTTAAAACTACTTTTTATTGTAAGTTATCGGTCGTGCTAATTCTAGACATGAGCATAAGAAATTCTCTTCAGTCTTCACATACTGGTTTTCTAGGCTAATAAACATTTTTCAAAAAAAGATCGTTTTAAATCTGTTCAGATTATATAGCATATCGATTTGTCTCTAAGACACTAATTTTTCATGTGGACACTTTTTTCTATCCCGTCCGCAGTGAAGAACCTCTGCAAAGTAGACAGTCATCTAATTTTTGGCGTTGTCTCGATATTTGGAATCAAATATTCGGAATACGAAAATCTGAAATAAAAACTCATGCACGCGATAAAATCAAATTTTGAGGTCTGAAGACGAGATTTTTCTTTTGAATATTCATTTTCTAGGTTTTTTCTTTCGAATAGAGTTGTGCATGTCAATGCATATTGAATACGTTAGTATGCACCGTGCCCTCTAAAAAAAAGACAATCAAAAGAAGATAGAACAGGAAACACAACATGAAAGATTGAAAACTTGTTTATTTTTCTACTCATGAAGCGACAAGAATTTACGATTCTTCGTCAACAAATTTGATACGAAAATGACTTGACTGGAAAGTGTTCAAAAGAAGTTTTATCATTGACAATTTCAGAAAAGTATTGCCGAAATTGAAAAAGCTTTTAACAATTGACGAAAGTAGTTGACTTCGAAAAAGAAGACAGGATACACTTAAGTAACAATAATAATGGTTTCAGAAGAGAAACTCGCACGTCTACCAAAAGTGGACACTTTAAAAAGATTCATTGAGTATTCGCAATAAAAAATGTATCCTATACTAATATGTGTCAGTTAATATACTCTATAATCTAGGCAGATAAAAACAACTTTTTGCCAAAATTTTTTTAGCATGGAAAATCATTATGTGAAGATCTAAGAAAATTTTTCATGTTCATGTTAGAAGTTAACATCGTCTATAACCTTCAATTCAATAGTTTTTTTTGATAGATTGATCAATCGAAATTGAATTCTAATACGTTATACACCACTGAACGATAAATGCAATGAATAAGTCATCATTTTATTTTTTAATTAATCGATAATGTTTAAGTTTCATTGAAAAGAATCTGAATTTCAAATATTATTTTTTTTTTCTTTCACTCAACATAATCCTACTGTTTTAGTGTTATTTCGTTTATCTATATGAATATTTAATAGACCATATTAATAATTATAATAAATTTAAAATTGTTACTTACAAACTTGATGAGCCCATCTTAATGCCATTAAATCTTGTGTATGTACATAATGATACAAAGTTCTATCAACAAGATCTTGTGGTTCATAACCAGTTATTTGTGATACTCTAATAAAGTTAATTGAATACTATATAAATTTTCTTCCATAGAAAGAAAAAAAAAACAACAACATACCTCGAATCAAGGAATAATAATTTTAAATCTTGTCCAGCACGAAACATAAACATATTTGAATAAAGACGTACTTCTGTTATTGAACAACTTGGTAATGAATAACCATATGCAACAAGACCAACATTTTGATAACAATTTTCTGTATTATTATTTAAATTATTCGTTGAACCATAATATGATAATGTATCAAGATTAAATTGTTTTACTTTTAAATAACCCGAACAATGTATTACTTTAAAACCACTTGCTGTTAAACCAGCATTACGTTTAGCCAAAACACATTTCATACGTATAAAAAATGAACGTTCAATTTCATATTCACTATTTGAACATAATGTTTGACTATATGTTGGTAATGGTGCTGTTAATACAGTAGCCATTTCTTCATGATCAATTGGATGAATATATTCATAAATAGAATTTCCAGTTAATTCAACTTGTGATAAACCTAAATGTGTTGAAGCTGTTTCAGATATATACATTATTTTACCATCAGGACCAACAACAAATAGAAAACCATCGAGAATCTAATAGAATTTAGAAAAAAAAAAAAGACATAACATTATTATATAGAATTATTAATACATTATTTTACAAACTTGTGTTAATTGAGAATTAACTTCACGTTCAATTGCTGATTGAGTTAGTGAACGTGAACCCCATGTAGTACCAAGTCCTTAAAAAATATATATATATATGTATATATGAATGAGATTGAATTTGTTAGATTTATATATCGAAAGATTTGTGCAAGACAATGGAAGAATGTCCGTTCTTGTTTGAATCTATTTCGAGAGATTTTCTTTCTTATGAGTTTTATAATTTAATAAATATAGTACACAACCGTATAAATTACGTTGATATATCCCAAGACTGACTCTTCTCCGAAGAAAGTCTTTCAATGAATCTTCTAAGTTATCAAATATCTCAAATCTGGGTAACCTCAGGACACTCGTAATATAGTCAGAAAAAAAAGTCAAAAGAGAAATATGATTAAGTATGTATCAATTAATAAAGAATTTCAGTTCTCGACACTTTCTAGTGTTCAAACTTGAAGAATCTTTTTCTTTTTAAGAAAAAAAATATTTGTATCCTAAAGTATACATAGGTTTCACAGTAGATTTAAATACAAAGTGAAACACTTTTTTTTTTTCTTTTCTTATGAAATGAAGAAAGTAAATAAACATTTGTTTGCTTTCTGTTTTGATCTCAACAGAAAGTGATGGCTTCATCATTGCACTTGACTAACCAATAATTACAAATCTAATTTTCATACAATAGACAACATATTTCAGTTGAATTTGAAAAGATCTCTTATTCTAAGATGTATAACTTAGCACTGGAGATAGTGTGATTGAGTTCTGGACAAAACGATGTTGTGTGAAGTATTTTCAAAAATAGAAAGTGAAAAAACTTTTTTTTTTTTTAATATTGAATTGAATAAAAATCGATTTCCATTTCAATCATATTAATAGCGGTAACGAAAAAGCTCATCATCTATGTGCGATTTTCTATTGAATTCCTGTTGTAAATATGAAATGCAAGTGATGAGATTGTTACCGGGAAAAAACATCCGGATGGAATAAGAGATTCATTTTCTAACTAAGCTGATCAAAGTCAATGTAAAGAACAGAGAAAAAGAAAAGAAAAAAAAAAATTCTTAGAACCAATGCGATTTCTTCTTCTTCTTCTTCTTCTTCTTTTATTTTTTTTAATATAAAACGACTCGGATAAAATTGTCATGTACAGCAAACAAACTCATGCTATTCTAATTGTTCCCTTTTTTTTTTCTTTCAATTTATATGAAAGAATAAAAATTCGACAAAAAAAAATAAAATGTCAATACTTCTGATTTTTGTAATATATCTCATATCAATTTTCAAAATGAACTATAACATTATTTGATAAATGAACATGTTAAAATTCTCAATATTGTGTCAATGACGTCATCTTAGCGGGAGTAGGATATGATCATTTATTATAGATCATTAGACTACCTTCGGGTATAATAGCACGCATTTTAAGATAACTTGTTGTAAGACGTATAACAGATGCTTTATCCAATTGATCAGTAATTGCATGTGGTAATGGTAAAAGTTTTGCCAATTCAAAAAATTCAGCATTTTCTTTTTCACGTCGACTTCGTGCTGCATTCTTTGATTTTTCTTTCATTGCTTCAATTCTTAAAGAAAAACAAAAATAGAGAAAAAAAAAATATATATATATACATATAAACATAAAAAGATCATATTAAATTTATGACTTTCTAATTTATTTTCAATTGTCTATGAACACACACACGTTTTTCTTTTTTATTTTACCTATGAAATCGTGCCGTTTTTTTTTCATTGTGTCATCTATCGAATGGATTTCTCTATTAATGAGAAATTCGTGAAATGAGGAAAAAAAAAAAGAGACAACAGGAAACAAATTAGCATTGTTAACTCAAAAAAAAAATCCGAGATCCTACTTAACGCATACATCTCATTTGACACGCGCATCTATACAAATCATTTTCTATTTTTATTTCAAAGCGGTAATCATCTCATCAACATTATCTATTAATTAGTTCAATTTTACACATACACAAAAAAAAAAAAGAATATTTTCTTGTTAATATTACAAATAAAAAAAAAAGAACTTACTGATGATAAAATAGTAAATAATTAATAAAAACAGGCACAACAACAACAACAACGGTTTATTAATCCGCTGATGTGTTGCTGCTATGCTTATAACACATATGAGAAACGTCTCTCGTTCTCTCTTTTTCTTCTTCTTTTTTCATTCATCAATAAGAAGATGTCCGTTGTATATACCCACACTCGTTTTTCTATTCGCTGACTAGAAGTTTTTTTTCTTCTTCTTCTTCTTCTCGTTTCTTCTACAATTCTTATTCTTATAATAATATACCAAAAGTTATGCACAAGAAGAAAAAAAAAAACAACAACAACAACAAAAACAGATCTTCATAATCCTCTAGGTCAATCGGTAAAAAAAAACCAATTTTACTATAATAAATCTATTGTATTCTATTTAGGATCTAATAGGCCGAAGCAATACTTTAAATGTGATTGACCTTAGAAATCGAATATCTTTATCATTTGAGCGTGACCAAATCTCGACATTTTCTTTTTTTCTGATAAGTTGTATATGAAGACGAATAGTTTATTTGCCTGCTCTATCTCTCTACTATTCTTGATTGATTTGTCTAATATAAAAAGAAAAAAAAAGAAAAAAAGAAATCTATGTTATATATGTTAACTTTTCTCACTTCAATCGAATGTATATGATATCGAACAAGAATAAAAGGAATTAGAATGAGATTAGCACGATATATAATCAACAGGTTCATATACAAAAGAAAAAGCGGTAGTAAGTTAAATCTCTTAACAAACTTCTTTTATTGAATTACTTGTAACAAATTTTACTAACGAAAAACAAAATAAAGAACAAAACATACAACACCTTTTTCTTGTTTTTGTTTTTTTTTTCTGCTATGCAGACATTATAAGATATGAAGTAAAGAGTATTTTGCATATATTGCTAATTCTTTTTTTTTTTTTTGACATTAACACATCAGAGAATGTTTGTCAATTGAAAAAGAGAGAGAGAGCTACCTGGATAGAAACGATGAAAAGTAAATATGGAACTTTCTATGACAAGAGACATTGATTAATCGAGTTAGTCATTGACAAAGAAAAAAGTCAACATTATTATTAAATTTATAAGCAAGCAATGTGTATATATATGTGAAATGCATGTCGAACAAAATACTCAATTTCTATCATCATCATTATTATGATGAGATGATTCTAAGGTTTGAAATTTGCATGTGAATTATTTATTCGAAAGTAACATATATATATATAAAGATGCTATGCAAGTGCTCATATCAAATGGAATATGTTAGAGTTCTTGTTTTGGTTCATAATTAATAGTGAATATTGATTGTAAAGTTTGATTTTAAAAGGTAAATAAAAAAAAAAGATTTTTTTGTCAATAAAGAAATGATCTTTGAATTTTGAGAAGTCATTGACTCAATGTCAGATCAAAGAAGATATGGAATTTATTCATACAAATTTAAGCTTTTTAGAGCTAGAAAAATAGTTCGAAAAAAAAAAAGATAATTTAATTCTTTATTATATAGTAAAATTTTACCTTCCACAGGCATGAACATTAATATAATCACTATTGAACAAAATCAAAATGTTCGATCGAAAACCAACTCAATATTGATTGCAAGGAACTTAATAAAAATTTTTTTTTCAAAGAGCTTTCAGTTACGCTTAGTAAATTCAATGGATAGGTTTCTTAGCTGTTGAATATTTTTTTTTTAAATTTTTCTCTGGTGTTAAAGCTGATACTTATAGACTAGTTCACAATCAATAAAATAAAGTACTTTATAAAAATGATGAGCGAATAACTCGATTACAATACTCATGAAACTATTATATTCACGCGTGTGGACATCAGGGGGGTAGTAACATGAACATGATTGTTTTTTGCCAACGAAATTTTTTGAACTTTTGATAAACAAAGAGATAAATTAGAGAACATAAAAGAAATTCAATTTGATTTCTTTCGAGATTGACAAGTCAAGAAAAGAAAAAATGTAGGATTGATAATAACTTGGATGAGAATCATGTGACTCATGACACTTTTTAATTGTCATACTCTATGGACATATCAAATATGCATCAATTCACTACATTTTCTTTGATAGACAACCTTATGAGATGACTTGTTTGTGTAGATCTTCGAGAATTCTGGTTAGGAGTAAATGGTTAAGATGTAGTAGCATATTTCAATATTCAATAGAATGAAGTTAAATTCAAAATTTATCGTTAACTCAAAAATAAATTAACTAGAAAAAAACTCCTATCACTCATTTCATATGACTAAAAAAATCCTGATTTGCTTTTTTCAAGTTTTTTTTTAAAGTAAAGTTTATACAGTGAAAACTATTCTATTTAATAATGTCGTATGATATGAAGTTTTGAATTACATAGAGATGTGATATTTTCATTCAGTTAACTCATCGTAATCTGATCTGATGAGATGGCGCATATTGTTCGGATATATATATTATATCAATAAATCCTGAAGAGGGACCCACCTATCGATAGATGACAACAATAACACTAGAAAAAAGGATTTTTTTTTCATATTCGTTAAATGTGATAGATTTACTATTGCTCAATAGAAACAAAAAGCTCACGATGTATATATCTTAACTAATATCAATAAAATTTTTCTGTCAAATTCTATTAAAACTTCTTTATAAAAGAATAATTACTTTCGAGTAGATGTTATTTTAGTCAGAACTGACAAAAACTTTATCTTGAATATTTTTTAATTAATATTTTAAATGATAGTAGATCAACAAACATTACGACTTTTAGTTGAATATATTGTGTTCAAATGACTGTTCATCTAACTAAATCTTCCTTAATAGTTTCTCTATTTGTGTTCGTAGCAACCTTATTTTCGGAACCTTTTTATTTGAATATCATACGAACAAGAAAGAAAACAACTCTTTGCTGTCTATCAGTTAAATAAAGACGAATATCACAATGTTTCTCTCACAACAGATTCGTCAAAAGAAATGCTCTCTCTAGAAGTCTCAAAAGTAGTATCCTGCAAGAGTACAACTCTTGCTACACATATCCGAATCCAATGCGACGGTTAGTTGTACTCGACATACACTCTGTAGTAGCCAGTATTCAGTAAATTTTGTCACTCATCAAAAGTTTCTAAACTTTTACGTCGTATTTTTGAGTAGAATAACTATAACTCCTGAACGATTAAATGCAAAAATCTTAGACTTGCGTAATTTAGTAGATCTTCAATTGACGGTTCGAATGCTCACCTTACAATTGAAAATTCACTATAGTTACGCCAGAGGATACGTTAGTTTTCAAAAAAGATCGATTGAAAACCTTAAAAAAGACTAGGTGAAAAATTATCTATAATATACGATTTGATACATCTTCATATCCTCTTTGTACACGTGAAAATTGTCACTCTCTATTTTATTTCTATCAAAAACTATTGTCTTTATGAATCCAAAATTCTGATCATATTGCAGAATATACTTCTATTTGTTACATATTTTCACACTTCAACTAATTGACTTTGTTTTCTCTATATACTTGATCATTTTGTTATACAATTTATCATCATAAAATATAAAAAAACAATCTCTCCTTTTATTTATGTTAGTTATCTTCAAGTGTCTATCATTGATTATTGAATTATAAATAGCTGTTGAGTATCATCACAGAGAGAATCATAATTAAACCCGACCCAGCAATTTTGTTTTGTGCTCGGTACCTGAACGAAGTCGGCAATTTGTATCTGGACATAGACATCAATGGCAGAAAACGGAGGCTGAACTTCTCCTACAAGTTTTTTCTCACTCTGCCACTACTAAACGCAGTGACTCGATCTGTGTCTCGAACACTCACCCAATCCGATCACAGGACTCTACTTAGAACTAATAGACATATATTATGCTATTCATATAGTAATTACTATCATTGCTTCTATAAATGTAATTAGAAGCATGATAAAATAGTATTAAAAAAAATAAACTCAATTTAGTTTCATCAAATACTTAAGGATCATAACAAACATATCTACTATCATTTAAAACTATTTTATTCAAAACTTTTTTTTAAAAAATAAAACCATTATTTAAACTATTTAAAAATTATTACATATAGATTACAAGTATTTATTCTCTTCTATCCTTATCTAATATATCAATGTCATCAACACGTATAGCATACCTGTCAAAATCATTTGTAGTCATTGTTGTATCATCATTTGTATGCATTTGACGAATAAATGTATGATTTTGTGTTAGATCTTCGTCGTTAATATCAATCATTGCTTATTCGTACTTGTCAATAGTGGAAAAAAAAGGAGTTTGGACGACAGGTTTCTTTTTGTCTGTCAATGTATTTGTGTATACCACACGGTCATATCATCATGATGTTGAAGTAAACAATCGGTTGTCGTTGTCTTTTGTCTGTCTTGTCGTTTCGTTCGCTGATTGCTCGTTTTACTTATACGACAAATATTCTTCTCAACGAATCACGTTCGACAAAGTTCAACGTCTCGTTTCTTTCTGTTACCGTTTAACTTTGATTTTATCAACGAGAAAAGAAAAAGAGACAGTTGATCCAGTACTTTGTTCTCTCTCTTTTTTTCTCTTTTCTCTTTATTCTTAGTTAGTATTAATGGATAATAGAGAAAAAAAAAAGAAGAAAGCTTGCTTTAGTCGTCGACACTGACTAATGACAACATTTAATCTCTTGTGTGAAGGAGGGGCACATAAATGATGAACGTAAGAGAGAGAATAAGAATGAAAAAAAAAAAACGACTAAATCGATTTTCTACCAATCACATCAAACTTGACCATGAAAAGGAGAAAAACAAAAACGCCAATGATTTAATATTAAGACGTTTGATATTTGTTTAATTTAATAAATTAATGTCTATTTTATTGATGATTAGAGCATGAAAGACTCAAAATCTATCTGAAGTAATATCTACTTTTCGCAACTGGGTGATAGAAATATATCAGGCAAATATGACACCGTTAGTCAATGGTAGTCCCTTTTTTTCTTCTGTGCTTGTTCCCATTTATTCTTTTGTTGATTGAACATGACAAACGTTCAATATATATTTTGCTTACCTATGGCAGAAAAAACAACGGACAGACAATTTTTTTTCTCGCACACATACACACACACACTCTCTCTCTCGATTCTTTAGATGTTGAATGTGAAATGGAAAACTGTTTGTCAATCATTTACGGATGCCATCAACAATGTCAATGCTGATATACAATTATCGAGAAGGCAAGGATATGTTACACAAACCGGAAGGAGTTTAAACATCCGTTTTGTTTTTTTTTAAATAACATATCCCATACAAGCCTATATGAATAATACTTCTTCGCACGTTTTGGATATTTATCAACAATTAATGTACATAATAATATATGTCGAAACATATACATGATAAAATATAAAATCACTTCTAATTATCAAGTGTATGATAAGGAATTAAGATTGATGATTTTCTTTTTGTTGTTTTTTTGTTTTTCGTCCAAACCACAGATAAGGTTATTGGTAGATGAATGATATTTTTTTAAAGAATCAGTTAGTTGTATATTGCATGGTTGTATTTGAATTAAGTATGATAGTGAATATTATTTCGCTAGATGATAGAATATTTTGATGGAGACCTCTATAGATTAGAAATACATATTGGAAAATATGGAGTTATCACAAAGAGTTCAGTTTAGATCTTTTAAGATACATGACACAAATTAATATATTCCACGAAGGGGATTATGATGTTGTTATTATATGTATCTAATGATATCTTAGCAGACGTATAGAACCTATCTGTGTGCACTAGTGTGCATTGAAGAAAATGTTTTAAACTTGGAGAAGGTTATTGACTGTAGGAAATTTTTTTTTTCATTCCAAAATTTAACTAAAGAAATGTTTCTCTTTTGTTTTGTTTAACAAAACAATCTATTAATTTTTGGAATGAAAATTACTTTGATGATCATTTGGCGATGTGAAATCTGATTCACTAGTGAGACAGTGTCATATGTATAGTAGATTGAACAAATGATCCCAATAAAATATAGCGTGCAATTCACCAGATTTACTTATTCTCATCATTACTCTCAATCTCATGACCATATGACCGAGATTTAGGCGTTCAGATTTATATACTCATTTATGTTGTTTAAACGATTGTCAATTGAAAACCAATATTTTTACTTCTTCTACTCTGTATCGAATTAATCATCATGCTCATTTTTCTTGTTGAATATTATCATTTAACAATATTCTCACTAAGCATTTTATCATGAATGTTGACGAAATATAAATTCAAATATCTGACATTTAATTTTAAAGTTTTAATTCTTTCTTTTTATTCGACACAAAGATCAAAGTATAGATTCAATAAAACTGACAAGTTTGAAGCTGTTTACAGAGCGATATTAAAAAATCGGACTTCATCAATTGAAAAATATATTAAGTAATTATACGATTATATTATCGAAAACTTTGTAAACACAGCTCTATTTTCAACCAATCAATTCGATTTGGCACATCCACTACTACATAGCATCACTTTTTCCTTCATAGGAAAACAAATTACACTACTTGTCTTACTAGAATTCGACTCAAATACATACTCAAGCTTCAGACAAACAAATGTGTCGTTAAATTCATTGAAAGTGAAATTCTTAAATTAATAATGAATACAAAGAATAATTCAATATGTCGTGAAAGATCAGGGAGCGTTGGATTCAAATTAGAAAGAGTGTCTAAATTCATTTTTTTTTCTTAGATGTATTTAATACTTACGAGAGAACAACCTTGAATGTGAATCGCTGATCGAGCTCATTTTTGGCTTCTATGTAGGGTTTGTTGAGAGTAGAAGGACCGCGAAAAGGTTCGTTCCAATACAGAGTCCTGCTGGAGTTATAGCTATTTCACTGGCTTTTTCTTTATCTCTGGCCAGGTATTAAGTAAAAAATTGAACGAAGAAATATGCATTTGAAACATTGCCTATAAACAGGTCTCACAATCAGTAAATCAGTCTGGAAACTTTCAGCCAAAATGGATGATCCTCTTCTAGAGATTATTGAATGCGGGAAAAGATCAGCTTTCATAGAAAGGCAAGAAAATCAAATATTTTTCAGCGTTCAATATCTCTAGAAGGAGTCCATCTATTTTGGCTGAAAGTTTTCGGATAGTATACTGACCGTGAGACTTGCTTATAGGCAAAGTTTCGAATGCATATTTCTTCATTTGGATTTTAAACTAATATTTGGCCAAAGATTGAAAAGTCAGTACAATACTAAAAATTCAGAAGGGCTCTGTATGAGAACGAATCCTTTTAGAACTCTTCTAGTCTTGATCAACTCTAAATAGAAGCGAAGATATACAATCACTTGTTCAAAACAAGTGAAGACTAAATCTTCTTGTTGGTTTTATTTTAATTATTTCAAATCTCGAAAAAAAAAATGCAGAAAATTTTTGTCTTTTTGCTGGTCTATGAAACTTTTTAATCAATGATTGACTAATGGATTTTTTTTTGATTCAATCATGAAATTTTTATTCTGATGTTCGATGAAGTATTTTCTCATTTTCCCTTTTTTCTGAGATCATTGCAATATAAATTAAGAATTTTTAATCATTATGTCTAGCAGGTAAGAAAGCAAAACAAAACTCGTGACGGTTTACATAAACATTGTATTTCGCATCTTATTAAAAGTTTTTACAAATAAGTGTCATTACAGCCAGCAATGAATATTATTACTGTAAGCTAGCGACAATTTTTATTTTCAAATGGAATTTAATATTAATAATATTCAACATCAAATTAAAGGATTCATAAAAATAAATCTAACTAAGAAATATACAACAAACAAACAAACAAGTTATCTATGATATGATTGATTGATATTATCTCCAATCCTAAAATAAAATAAATAAGTAGAATTCTATTTTTGTATTATTTATGTTTTCTTGATTTTTCTGTTTTTTTTTTGTCTAAATACGGAGCAATCAAATATGCAATATTGGCGTTTAGTTGGATTAAAGTAACTTTCATTTTATAAAAGAAAAAATGAATCTAATCTTAATAATTATTTAGTTACATTCAATATTCTGCAATATGTGCACGTACATTACGTCGATGTTTAAAATCATCTGTTGCTAAAGAAGCTATGAAACGTGAAGAATCTTATGTACGTGTTAATAAATGGCAAGGTGGAAAAATTGCCGATCAAGTTCATCCAGCTAGTTAGTAAATTTTACTTTTAATCAGTTCATATATATATATATATATATTCATTTTTCTTTTCTTGTAGAAACGGAACAAACATCATAGAACTATAATTAACATGGTCATTAGAAGCATATAGATAAAAACATTTTTTTTTTCTCCTAGTAGTTCAGTGGTTTCTTTTTTTTACCTATACTATTTTCTGTTTTCTTTGTATGCTAAAATAGAAAAATAAAACATTATCATCCCGGAAGACTTTCTACTAGTCAAAAGTTCTAAATATGATTTTTGTAATTTAAACTGTTTCTGATTCTCGAACATAATGTACATAAGCGATCGGTATATGAATATGATGATTGATATTCTAAGGAAGAAGAAATCCAATAATATATCGTGTGGTGTTTTAAATAATCATGTGAGAAGAAAAACAGTTTCAAACTTTTTAAAGTGCTGTATGGAATATTTTGAAACATAATAGGAAAGTTCTGCAATTGGTTAATCATTTTTAAGTCGAGACTATGTGCTTTATATTGACCCTAATGAACGATGAATACACTGAAAAAATTTCCAGCTTTTTACTTATTGTTACTGAGATATTGCATTTTTACAACATTTCTTTAGTTAATGTCATGGTTCCCCTTAAGAACACCAGGAAAACTCGTTTTCAAATCTCGATTTGAAACTTTCCATAGACACTGAACTCATCGAGAATAGATTATTGTAAAATTCTAGTGTTCCTGAGAATACCATGATACTAACTAGTAAAAAAGCCTCCCGTAAAAATGCAGTGTCTCACAACAGCAATAAGCTAAGATCTCGAACTCTTTTCACGATATTCATGGTTCATTGGAATCTACATGATGCAAATAGTTCGCACTTCAAAGGGGTTAATCAGTTGAAGAGCTTCCATCGTTAGATAAATATTTCAAATCTTTATTGAAAAAGCTGTTAATACAATCTCTGCGGGATTTTAATGTGGAACACGATTTTGTTCCTGTTGCTAGCCATATGGAAATTGTTTTATTCAATCTATTTTGGGATACATTTCTTCAACATCCTTTTACT